TCTGCGTAGAGACATGAGGAAATGTACAGCTCTGAGATGTGCCTCTTCTTAATGGGGGAACTTGAGAGCACTTGTAGTTATTCATAAAAATTTTGACTCTGAATGTACAATCAGCGTGTGGAAGAAATATGCAAATAAAGTAACCGTGTACCATTTCTTGAATATTCAAATGAGGTTTGATGCATGTGAAATTGCTAAAGGATCTGTAGTGCATACTGTTTTAAGACAATTTAATTTTATTGTAGAAAGGTATAAATAAAAAAAAATGTTGTTTGTGTCATTGGTGTCATCAAGACAAAGCTGTTAAAATCATATTATCATATTAAACACTCATGTTTGTGGTAAGCAGATTCCAAGATGTAACAGCTAAAGTTTAAATAACATAAAGTGGCATCGTAATTATTCTTTAAAGCCCATAAACATTCATGATTGAGTTTCATAGCTTTCGGATGGAGGATATCAACGTGACCGGATTGATTATTGTTCTCTGCCATGCTTCACTTGTCAGTGATGGAGATGATGCCTATCATATTATTATCCTCCCCAATATAGTTATGGAGACATCAAGAGATTGTAAAGGTTGAGTAAATCTGAGATGGTAAAGCTAGTCTTCTAATCTTTCATCTAATCTTTCATTACCCGGCTCTGCTGAGCTTTTCATGTTTTTCTCTTTGTGCGTGCAGTGTAGCGTAGCGGCCTGGGTACGCTGGAGCACAGTGTAAATCTGTATCCTGCCAAGATGGTTCCATTGCGGGAAAAGTGTGCATAAGTCATGGGAGGTCGCACCTCAGGCTCATCTACTTACTTAACCCCCTCTGGTGAGGCTCCATTTCTGCGTGCAGAACCGGAATAATACACTGGCGTATTATGTGTGTATGCAGTGAAGAAGGATATAGTTACTGAGAAACCTTTGATAAGTGTGGAGGTATGTTTGAGTGTGACTGAGGCAATATGTGTGGAGGTGTGTTTGAGTGTGACTGAGCCAAAAAAAATACCTTGGAGTTAATAAAGGGTGTCACGATTTAGATTTTAAATCGAAATCGACCGAAATTAACTCACAATCTCGAACTTCGAATTAAAAAATGGAATCGTCGATGCTGCCATGCCCCCATGTCACGTCTGGTCGGCGTGCCAAAAAAGCTGCGAGTCTATGGTCAACCTCCTCCTCTAACTTAGCTACAGCCATTCAAAAGATAGCATGGCAACTGCAGATGGAGGAGACCCATTGACAGAACTTGAACCCCCTCCTCTTTCATTGAAGTCGCAGGTGTGTAAGATTTTTGGATTTACTGTGAGTTATGTTGACAACGTTCGCGCTTCAAAAAAGCCACAGTTTACTTTGCAGACATCCCAAGTCTCGCGGAAGTTCCGGGAGTCTCCCGCATATTGATAGCGGCTCTGATGCCCGCAAATTAGTTAAAATCTCCCGGAATCTAGAGTGAGCGAGCAAGAGCGCGCATGCGAGACAGAAAAAACTGTGCTCCAAACCGTATAGCGCGCGCACGGCAGAGAGCGAGAGAGCGAGAGACCTTGCGTATGTGCCTCATGAAGCGCATGTAAGACAGAGAGCATCCTGATTGGCCGGTTTCGGCTTAAAAAAAAAGAAATACAAATCGAGAATCAAATCGAACCGTGACCTTAGAATCGAAAATGTAATCGAATCGAGGATTTTGAGAATCGTGACACCCCTAGAGTTAATAGATCATTCTCTTTTAACTCATGTGAGATGGGTAATGAGGGTCTTTCTAGCTTTGTGCGGATACTTTTTGCATTAAAGCACATATGTGAGAATATGTTAAAGATGTGGGGGTATGTAAATGCAGCTGTACTGTATGTATATGTTTGTTTTCTTCAAATCTTTGACCACTGGTGTAAACGCAAAGCGATGTGGGTTGCCTGTTCTTGTGCAGCAGTATTGAGGCGGCTAGCTTGACTGCAGAGGTCTCGCAGTGCTAAATATGCACATATTTTATTCTCTCTGGAAACTGATAACAAAGAAATAACTTGCCTCCTGAAATGAACTTGGAATGAGGAAGCAGCCATACCGAGATGGAATTCTCCACCATTATTTTCAGAGACCTTAGGCTTAAGACTGATTTAGAAAAACACTTTTTTTCATCATAAATAGTTCAGACTTCATGAAATGTCATTTGTTCCTAAGTTTATGATGTAAAACGTTGCAATATAGCATATCAACACCACCATCATCAAAATCAAAAACACTACAGGACCTCTGCCCTATAATATTCTAATCCATTCTTTCTTCCTTGAATGCTCTCATTTCCACCATGCTTCAGTTCATTAGCTGCTTAAGCTTTTGATGAACTGATTCCAGTCTGCCAGTGGCTAGTTGAAACAAAGCTCCTCAGAAGGAGCGAGACTGCGGTGTGAACGTGACGACTCGTGTTTTTTTGTTGTAATAAGACAGCCTTGTGCGTATCAGCACTTTGAAAAATCCCCTCTGTTAGGAGCAGCCTCCTTTGAGAAAGACCGGAAATGAGTGTATAAGAGGTTGCGCGGTGATTAAGTGTGTTTCGTGGAGAGCTGCCTCGCTCTGCTGAGAGGCAGATGGTAACCTTGGGGACGCTGACGTGGCTTTGTGCAAGTGAGAGTGGCAGGAGGCACTTCTCGAGCTGCACTGCCTGTTCCACCAACCTACCACTCTCTTCCTCTCTAACTGCCTTCTGTTTTTTATTTTTCAGTTTCTGTATGTCTCTTTTGTTGACATAAATGCACACTCTAGCCTATCTGTGTTTCTCTTTGTGGCTGGCTGATGGGCAAGCACATTATGTGCTCTTACTGGGTGTTTTTATTAATTACATTACCCTCTGCTACGGTCTATATACCCCATTATCTGCAAATAGAGTGATATCCATCAGAGCCATTCAGGTCAATCTGGAGCATCACCTATAAGTGACAGCCTTTTGATTACTTATTCAACTAGGCTGACCTGAAGAAGATTGCTCTTTTATCCTTTCACTTCCCAAGGTTTTTTCCCCTTAGCATTCAAGGTATTGAGGATAAGCCTGGCTCCCTTTAAACCATGTGACAATCATTTCATGCTCCTGAAGCCATGTTGAAGTTTATTTGAATGAACGTTCCCGATTCCTAGCAACAAAAATGGTTCGTTATCAGGGCGCAAAGGGAATGACAGAGGAGCTAACATGGTGAATGATGGATTAGCTTGTGTGGAATTCAGCATGGTGCCCTACTTAAAGTGACAAGCTCTCTGTTTGTGTAGTTTGTGACTAAATGCCGTTAGTCCTTTGCGGCACAGTTTGGTGCTGGCCGGTACATAGCCTGAGTGTTTTTCACTGTAGTTACTCGCTCTGTCATACTGTCTCTAATCTATCTCTTCAACCTTCTCCAAGTTTCACTTCCAGGCCACCTGAGACTTCTTGTTGGTGAGAATGTGCAGATGGGTTTTAAAACGCTCTTGATTCAGCCGGCTGAATGCTTATAGATGGAGCGGAGGCGAACGGGACACTCTGGAGTCCTTAAGTTATCTTCCCTCAAGAATTTAGCACTTGTTTGTGGTAGTTTGCATAAAAATAAAAAAAGGGCTCGCCCTCATGTCTTCCAAACCTGAAAGATTTTCTCTCTTATTTATGACTTTCTGTGGAACACAAAAAAGAAAAAAGAAAAAAAAGAAACAAGTTTGCGCACTATGTTGTGTTTGGGGTCACTGGTGTCCTATGGTGATTTCAGGTCAGCTATCTCTTATAGTGCTAAATTCTTCCCTTCCCATTGTCTTTGCTTTCATTCATTTGAAAAGAGATCACTTTTTGAAACATTTTATGAGAATGATCCATTTGTCACTCAAAATAATATATTTTGTGTGCTACAGAATAAAGGTTTGTAATGACATGGCGGTGAATAAATAGTGATGCAATTTTCATTTTTGGGTGAACTACAGTCACAGATACCACAGTGCAAATAACACTAAAGAGGCCAGATACAATTCTATTCTAGTATACAATTCTAGTATTTTATAACTCATAAATTCCTAGACCCTATCCCCCCCCCGCCCTCCCTCCTCCCTAGATGTTAAAATTAATGGCTTCTTGTTGCTTGTCAGTGAGAAGAGGGAAAGCCCTCAGGAACTCTGGTTCCTGCTCTCATTTGGCCTGTGTTTCTAGAGCCCCTGCACATATCAGTTCACTCATACACAGCTAAGTGACACCACAGCCTTGTGTGCATGGCAAGAGACATTGGGAAACAGAGAGAGACTTTTACTCTCAGCTGAAACTATAACGTAAATTATGAATGAAAGCTACAGCTCCAAAATAGCTGGTCTCATTGCCTTGGCTAGTTACTACCTATCAGCCACAAATTAAACTTTTATGGCTCTGTTTTAAACTTCGGAATTTATGCTCACCTATGTACTGGCGCTGACTGTTTTGTAGGTATGTGACGCAGCTTTACATAGCCCTTTTGTAGATGGAACTATGTCCCTTATCCGCTATCGAAAAGGATTTGCGCCCATCGACACTCTTAAAGGTCAGGCGGCAAAGAGACTTTAGGGATTACAGAGGAACTCTGCACAGGTGGCAGACCTCGGGCCCAGCCTACAGCTGTTTGTGGCTCGAGAGCACGTCCAGGAAGTAATGAAATCTCAGCTTGGCTGGCAATGCTCATTGGCATTCGCTCACCGTCTGCTTAGCTTTCCCACCATCGGCCATGTGTGAGCTCGGATGGCTATTTGGATTGTGTGAACAAAGCATGTTGTCCCCTGATAAGACAGTCTCCACTGCTTAGCCATTAGCCAGATTAGCACAACTTGGAGGCCTGGTCACCAGCATCATGTCAAACTCTGAAACGGGAAAGCTTGGTATCCTGGGCTGAGTTTCATTTGTGAGACATTGCCTTGGAATGCAGCCCAGATTTAAGAGTTTCATGGGGAAGCAATGAGCAGCTGTTTGATTTTCTGTTCGCTTTAGTCTCTTATCGCATCTTCTCTCCGGCAATAGGGTGACGATATGATCCTCTTCTTCCTGTAGGTCCCTGGATACGCAAATTGCCAGGTCTTCTCCTCCTCTCCTTTCCGCTCCACTAGCTGCTCCTGGCTTCTGGAGAACGCCTCCTCTCCACGCTGCCTCGGACACCAGGAACCTGCCGCCACGTCAATCACGTCCTCACATCTGGGTAATTAATTTCAAGTGCAAATTGTAGCAGTCTTCACTTGAGAGAGGGTAAGAAGAGATCACACTCTCTTCAGTCGTTTTATCCACAGTCCTGAGGCTTTCTAGACTGAGCTTGTTTCTACAGACCAGTTTGCCATTAAAGCTCTGCTCAAATCTCCAGGGTGGTGATCAGTTTTTTTCATTATTTTGTTTATGCATCTTTCAAAGCCAAGCGACTCACTGTAGGGAATATCATTCATTTTAGAGCTGCCTGCTTGGCTACATGTCACCTGTGAATTTTCAAAGGACGCTCTTTAGGAGAAGAGACCTTTGTGACTAAGCCAATAGCCTTTGGTGTCTTTCAAAAATATTTTACCGAGCCCAGTATGTGGAACCTCATGAGACTGGCTTTGTAAACAGAAGACTTTGGCTTTATGAGTTTACCTGTTTCTTCTCTATCTTCTTTCACTTTTTTTGAGCAAATTTCTTTCCCACCCTGCTCAGTCTATGGTGAACTTAAAATGGATTAAGTAGAATTCAAATGAATTGAATTCAAAGAAATGTAATTTTAACTGTAAAAAAATCCAAGTTTGTATGCAACATTTTGGTTTAAAAAGTTTTGAAAAGTTTAAAAACCCTGAGGTTTGCAGGTTTGTTAGGTCTTAGAGATAGATAGATGGAGGGATGGGTAGATAGATGAATAGATAGATGCAATTCATATTTTATTTGAAAAATAGCTAATTACTAATTAAATGAATAATTAGCTCTTTTTACCTATTAAAGAGCCAGATATTTTGTGTTCCACTTTTTTTAATTGGATATGCCGATTTCCGCGTTGAGTAATACGTGAAATGAAAGTTCTTATCTCCAGTGGAGAACATACTAGTTAAAAGTATGCATAATTGCTCACATAGAGATTGCTGGAACATCTCACCCACACAATCAACTGGATTTCATAGACAGGCTCACAGACACAAACACACAGGCCCTTTGCGGTAGACAGAATACCCTCCGTGAGCCCTCATTTTGGTGAGCTGACCTTGCATGAGCTGCGTCAATCATTCTCTATCTGCCAGTAAATCCTCCCTTATCTTGGGCTTAAACTGACGGAGCACACATCTGCACTGCAGGAGACTGTGAGGCTGTACAATAAGCCAGGAACAGAGTCAGATTGGCTGAAGCTACTGGAATGATGGGATTGTTTGTTTGTGATTGGCGTATGTTGAAAGTGGGTTCGAGCTCAGGGCATTTACGCAGGAGGGGGCTGAATGGTCCTTAGATGTATTTTGCATTTTCAGGGCAGCTGCGTGGCTGGTTTGAAGGCTAGATTCAATTTTGCGCAAGGTATTTCAGTGCAAAATAAGGAATTTTGCTGTGCAAATTGTGTCCAGCACAGATTTTTATGTGCATTTGCTCTGTTACCTGATTTGCATAATTACTTTGGCACGCACCGGTCGACCGGCCATAAATCGGAACTGGCCGGTCGCCGGTCATCTGTTTGGAGCAAAAACCGTCTGGTTCCGATTTATGGCTGGTTTTTAGTTTTATTTTAGCCAAACTCTATTTCGGACTTGCACACAAACTGCACTGCAATAATTTCCCAAAATGTAATTTCTGTGTACCGGTAAATATTATGAAATAGATGCGGCTGCAGAGCAAAAACTGTAACAGGCACAACAAGCTTACTGTTTGTGATGCACGAAATTTAGGAAGAAAAATAGTTTGACCGATAATTTATTTTTTATTGCTAATGCTGATATCTTAGAGAGCAGGGTAGTCGATTTAAAGCCAATATATATAATATAGTTTGAAATCAAGGGTTTATAGTTTGTTGATCAAGTGAAGCTGGAGTCTTCTGTCCGCATTAAGTTCACACGGACTGACCATCACGCACAGAGTAGCGCGTTCATGCAGGCTAAAAATGCGCACTTCAGAATATCTGACAGCTGGATTCGACTAAGTCTGCAAGGTTTGTGAAATTAAATGTTTATTAGATATTCAAAGATTTGTTTAAATTATATAAATGCATATTTGCTGAATGCCGATGGTAAATGAGAAAGAATGATAGTGTTTGACTTTCTGTTACTAATACTATAAAAGCAAACTAGTGGTCTCTGTTTAACAGTTTTGTCTGATATGTAACTAGATATTTAATGAAGACGGAGAACGGGAGCTGCTGTTCTCAGAGCTGCCGTTCTCACATCAAAATAAAAGTCTGGTGCGCTGTCAAAATAAATGTCCCGCTTCCAACACATCGTCCAAACAGAAAAACGTGTTGGCCAATGCCGATATGTAAAAAAAAAAGAGAGAAAAAAAAAGCCTAGTCAGAATGTTTAACTCCTGTTGTGAATGTGCTCTCCTGGAGCAACGCGCTGAAACACTGCATCTAAAGCCAATGAATTCACAATGATTTATTACAGTAGTGTTCTCATTATAATGTTATGTAATATGACAATCCTAATCATAGTTATTATCAGTCATACATTGCTGTTTAAGCTGCGCAAGCCGAAGCACAGAATCAGGGGCGCAACAGTGTCAGAGGGGTATGCAGCAACAATTTTTGCGCCCCCCCCCCCCCCCATGTAATAAGTGAGTAGGAACGAGTGAGAGCTAACAGATAAAATAAGTGCAAAATTTTCATTTATTAATACAATTAAACTATAGCTACTCCACTGTGATGAACCCCCCTTAAAAAACTATAAGCTCCATTGGAACAGCAATACCAGTGTTTCTCAGAGGATTTTAGGTAAAACTGTGGTAGGTGGACCTCTGTTTCTCTAGGGGGGTTCGGGGGAATGTTAAATTCAGCTGTCTGGTGCACTTTGAGAGTTCAAAATTAAAAGCTCCAACCCATATTCAGGGTGCAAATTAAACAAAGAAAAATTCAAACCTCTAGTGTCTGTCTACATTACACTACTACATAATAATAGTTATAATATTAATCCCATGATAGTAATAGCCATATATTGTAAAACAAATGCACTGAAAAATAAAGGGAACTTTCATAATTAGTTTTGTACTAATTTCTATACTTGAAAGATATAAGCACATGATGACATGTTGGCCGGTGTGTCAGAAAAAAAACTAACGCTGACTTTTTTTGACCAATGCATTACACCGGCACTAACCCGGCAGCGCCGCCAATTAAGCAAAAAACAACAACAACAACAACAACAAAAAAAAACGAATGGGCCGCCGATGCACGAGTTTATGGGCCGTTAAGAAAAAAAAAAAAAAGTATGAGATGTAGGCCTATCGGCCGAAAAAGCCCATCGGCCCACCGGGAATCTCCCGGTAGTCCCGATGGCCACAGAGATGTAGATAGCCTACATGCCTGGATGTCACACTTTAAATCCTTCCTGTTGGCTTTCAGCATGCACTTATTTAGCTGCTGTCGCATCAATTGACATGCCATCTCCTTTTCCCTCTTTCTTTTTCTATTTTTAGCCCCCCAGCATTTTGTTTTATCCATCTTTTTTGACGTCAACTCACTACTCCTGCCTGCTCGCTCAGCGCTCACGGCGCCCCCGCCCCCCTTCTCCATGAGGGCGCCTACTCTAGCTTGTGTAAGTCCGTCTAATTTGATCCAATGGCGGCATTCAAATTAGCGGTGAAGGTCTCAACGCGTTCCGTCTCTTCCAATGGCAAAGGGATTTTTTAATTAAATGCATTACATTTTATTTTATGTATTAACTCGTTTCATCTGACTCCATAAAATGAAAAAGTTTTTCATTGATATCTGTGCATCTTTAAATATACGTTAATGTTTGACTATTCCTTTTAACTCCAATGAAAATAAAGTCAAAGTCTGTTAGAATAATCAAATATAACAATTTATTATGTCAGGTAAATGTATTATAACAATTCCATAATCAATTGAAAGATAATCAATGCAAATCATCAAATGTTTTAGGATTAGAGAAATAGATGCAAACCCAACATTTAAGAACTACATGAGCTACCTCATGGGCTATCTGAAATACAGAAAAAGCCACGATCCCTTGCTGCATTCCATTAAATAGCCAGACCTCATTTCATATGTAAACCTGTGTTCACAGTGGAAATTTACTGTTCACTCCCCCAGACTTACTGGGGGCAGAAGTTGATTTACATGGTACCATTTGCTAACAGTGGAAATTAGCATTGAGTTCACACCTTCTGGGAGTAGGAGACCACATTCATTTGTGTGCCAGATATCCCTAAACTTCTAAAAAACCTTATTACCTTTTGTTTTACTCTTTTGGAATGAGACATCTGAACCACTCACTCTGGGACATTTAAAATGATACTAAACACAATAATCATTCACATTAAACCATATATATATTCTTATGTGAGTTTCAGGTGATCTGCATGAAGGGGAAGGAGTGGGGGATGAGGGGAAGAAATGTAGATTAGGATGATTCAGAGGTGAGACCTCTAGTCTCGGATGGGGCCTTCACAAGAGTGAGCCCAAATGCTACTATGGAGTGGGTTCTTTGTCTTCTCAAGAAGTGGTCATTCCCTATAACCAGTTTTCCAGTCTTACACTTGTTAGTCCTCTAAAATTTTATATAACATTGAAGAAATGCAGAAATGATTTAGAAACGCACAACAGCAGCTACATATAGAAAATACAATATATATATATATATATATATATATATTTTTTTTTAAATTAAATTTTAATTAAATTTTTTTTACCATCGCTTTGGCGCCCCCCATGGTGCTGCGCCCCTATGCGCCGCATATAGCGCATACCCACTTTTTGCGCCACTGCGCAGAATAAACACCGGTAATTTGAAGCCCTTTTCTAGCGAAACGCATCCTATATAAGATTAATCTGATATATACAAAATACGTTTTTTTTTTTTTTTACAAATTATATCTGCACAAAATTACGCGAATGCACAAGTGAACTTGAACAAGTTACATGCGAGTCAGAATATCTAATGGATGTGGTCTTCCTGGAGCAACACGCTGAAACATTTTATTTCAATATTATTTTCTTTATGTAATATGACAGTCCCAATCATAGTTATT